TGGATTTATTGGCTGCTAGTGATTAAGTGTTTCAAAAAAAAAAAGGCAGGATCAAGATAAACCGGTATGCACACAGTGCACAGCGAGAAGCTGCACATTCACACACAAATTTCAAGCCCGAAAAGAACCAGCACTGCTGGCAACCAGACGCGGCAGCGCCAGCCCAAGCGCGAAGCCGCGCAGACAAGCAGCCTAAGGGTCAAGCAATCAAGCAACAAGCAGCAGGAGCATGCAGGAGGAATAAAATCCCTCAGACGCGATACCCGGAGGCAGCCGACTGACCACTGTCAGTCGAGACGTCCGCTGCCGCCACAAAGCGGGCGGCCGCGGACGGAGAAAGGGCAGCCGCCGACAAGGAGCCGGCGCTGCCCGGGGGTCCGCCTGGGGCAGCGGACGGAGGGAGGCTGGACACAGGAACACGGTACCGCTCGAGGTAGTCCTCCTCGCTAGCCTCCGAGTCAGCAGAAGCCGAGACCAACACCGCCCGTGACGGCGGCGACGCCGCAATCCATCTCGCCGCAGCAATGCCCAAGGACCGGCGGGACCCGACCGATGCCGGGGAGGAAGCAGGCGCCGCTCGGACAAGCAGCAAGCACCCCCGGCCCAGTGGTGTCGAGCTCTCCGGAGGCACCCGACGTCACAGTGAGGGACGGAGACGGCGCTTCGCCAGCTCCGCGCCGGTCGTCGGCGCCACTCGAAGGGTCTCCCCCATCGGAGTCGGAGACCTCCGGCGAAGACTCCTCCTCGGGCGACTCGACAAAGTCCGAGGAGGAGCTGTCCTCTGGCTCGAGAAGTGCTTGCGCCCGCAAGGGCGTCATGCGCCTCGCACCAGATAGGAGCGCCTCCAGCGTCAGCTGCATGGTGAGGCGCTGATAGGTGGCGGCGCGTTTGCGAGCCAAGACCTCAGCAGCAGGTCCATCATCAGGCACGAAGTGCCGACCAAACGCCGCATCCTCAAGAGGCATCGAGCGCTGAGCAATGATGTCCGCGAGATACCAGATGAAGCGGAGGGTGTCAGGATGCAGGGTACCGTCCGTCGAGATGGCAAGAGGGATGAACGCTCGAGGAGGAGTAGTCATGGCATATGCAGCGCGATGTTTGCGAATCTTCTCAGACGCTGCAACATGGAGGGCGTCGAGGTTGACCTCACCCCACTTGGTCAGGTCGGCAGAGCTACCAATGTAAGGGTGGACCAACGTCACGTCCGCCATCAAGCCCTCGTACTGCTCGGACCCTCGATCGCGGATTCCAGGGATGTGGATATCGCCCTTCATCTTGCGGCCATGAGGATGGGAGGGTACCTGCCGTCGAGAACGAGGATCCCCCACTGTATCGATGACGCTCTGAAGACCAGCTTCGTTCAGCATCGACCGAGTAAAACTCAGAACTGAGCTTCCTACTGCGCATGACAACCTTACTCGGACAGTCAAGGCGATGCTCAGTGACAGGCTAGTTGATTTACTGGCAGAAGGTAAAAAGTGCCTGTGAAGCCTCCATTGCCTCCTCGATGCAGTCGGGGACCGCAGGTACCCTCCAGGTAGGACATAGGATTTACTGGCAGAAGGTAAAAAGTGCCTCAAGCAAAACAAAGCAGGAACAAGCTAAACCGGCGTGCACACAGTTCACAGCGTAGCGAGACCCTCCAATCGTCATGGGCACAGAACCAAGCCCGATCCTCATCCCCGGGTAAAACTCGGAGTATAGCCTGGGATCTGCGAGGGCTTGATGGCGGACGTGACGTTGGTCCACCCCTATATTGGTATCTGACTTTGACTCGCACAAGTAAAAAGTGCCTCAAGCAGAACGCGGCGCAAACACACGCAACATAAGACCGAAAGTGACCAGCACTGCTGGCAACCAGACCCCACACTGCCACGTAGACAGCAGAGGGGGGCAAGCAACGAGCACCGTGATACCGGCACAGCAGGGGACGTGAACGCCCTCATACCCGAGTATCGGAGGTAGCCGACTGACCGCTGTCAGTCGACGCGTCCGCCGCCGCAGAGGCCGCGGACGGAGGAAGGGCAGCCGCCGACAAGGAGCCGGCACTGCCCGGGGGTCTGCCTGGGACAGCGGACACATGGTATAGTAGGCTTGAGATCTCATGGTTGTTGTTTAATCCTCTTCCTGCCCACAAC